TCTGTTTATCTAACTAGAGCCAGCTAAGATATCGAGTTGCGAAGGTTGACACAGAAATCATCTTTGCCTCGAAATGCTTCCAAATTTTCTTTCCCTGATTAAGCTTCATCTAAGACCAAACGTTTTCGATGGGATTTGCATTCGGTAATTGTGACGGTCAATCAATAATTTAACATCACTTTCTTATTTCCATGCAGTATAAAGATACAATAACTTTGATGTTTAAAGTCATTATTCTCTTGTAGTATCCATTTTTCGTTTTTCTTTATGAACCATTTTTGAGCAGATAACAGATTAAAGCCTTTTCATAAATTTTGACCATTTTACCAACGTATAAATTGTCTGCGTATAAATTTTACCAGCGTATAAATTATCTATAAAAGTATGCAAAATGCCAAATCCTTGCTTTGAGAAACAACTTCGAGACGTGTACCTTCAACAGATGCTTAATTCGTTGGACACCTGGTATACCCCTATCAATATAAGGATATATCAGGTTTAAATGATAGAAGTATCTGCTCAAAAAGAAGCTTTGTCGAAAAAAAATTACATCGCCCCAATCACGGTTCATATTTTCTTGGGCTCAAGCAATTCCTTTCTCTAGGTGTTTTTCGGAAAGTGTTCTCTAGGTTTTTTTCACTGTATTTCAATGTTCCTCATTATGAGCATATAGACGTCTTCTTATCGTATCATATGATATATTTACCTTTTTTTCATTATTGCTGCTTCTCCACCTCGCAACGATAGACGAGTATTGTTCTGGTAAGTGATAGATGTTTTTCACCCTTAAGTAGCAATTTACTTACTTAATTACAAATGCCTTTTTCATATACTTAGCAGATGCTTAGCGTGACATTTTTGGTTCTTTCGGATATACAGAGAAACGCAGCTTCAAATCGCAATTCGTATGCGGTACTCATAACGAAACATGTCTTTTTGTCACCAAGGTCGAACAATAATTGAAGATTTCTCTACAAAACATCTTAAGTGAAGTGTCCCTTCTATTGAAATTTCTTAACGGTTTTCATGTGAAAGTTTTGCTAGACATGCTCTTATCAAACAGATTATAATTTACTCACACTTCATATGCTCTTACTCACAGTCGTCGCAATGAAAAAATGAAACGATGCTTAGATGATATGATCTAGATGGCTAATCAAAGTGATATTTGTAATGTCACTTCTCTATTTATTTATGTCTATACTACAAAGTATTCCTGCAATATCATGCAATACGAAACGAAGTGTTTCGTAACCTCAATTTCAACAACAGCTTCTTTGATCAATTCGAAACTTTCTATTCATAATTCGAGATTTTCTATTCATAAAGTTATTACCTATTAAAATACCTATTAAAATAATAATTAAAAAACTTATAGTCATTCGAAAAATAATTATATTGTAACAAATTTTCTAATAATACCTAAATATAAGTGTGTGCTTATTCCTGTTTTATGTATCTGATATTTTCCTAGTTGTAAACGACTGAAAAAGCTTTTCGAAAGCGAAGAATTTCGGGAAGATAAATAAACAGGTTTATATTTGTTCGATTGATTTTAAATACAGATCTTATTTCGACAGAATATTCACTCAAAACTTAGTTAAATAGATCGAAGTCTATCGTGACAAATTATTATCAGGTTGGCAAGAAAATCACGTGTCGTTTTTTTATCTATGTAAACGAAGAACGATTTTTTCATACAAAGAGACAAGAAATTCTTAATTTAAAATTTAAGAGAAACGATAGCTAAAAAGATGTCATATATATGTTGACTTGTGCAGCAAAAGATTAAATGGTTTTCAATACTCGTATGTAATATTTTTAGCTTTTCAGCGATCTCCCATGTTATATAATGGCGGTTGAATTCAAATAATGCTTTTATTTTGTCGTCACTGACCTCAATTGACCGGCCTGACCATAGTGCATCTTTCATAGAAAAATCTCCTAAACGAAAACGAACAGACCAACGTTGACACTGGCGTTCTGTTAAGGACTCCTCACCATACATAGCACATAACTTTTGATGGGCTTGCACAGCGTTTTTTTCCTTTTTGGAAGTAAAAAAGCAAAATATGGCGGAGATTTTCTTTTTGATTATCCATTTTTAATTCAATGCCAAACAAACAATTCTTTATCGAATGACACACTTTTTCTTTTTAAGAAAGCTTGAAATGTCAACTGTCAAATGATGTAAAGGTTATAGGATTTGGAGTGAAGTTAGTTGCATTTAATGACAAGTAAAGTCATCTATCCGTGAAAAACGATATGACTTTGTTGCCAACCTGATATTATCACTTCTCTCGACATTTTCGCCAAGGAAAATAAATCAAGCATTTTCAATCACGATGTATATCGAGAAATTCATTCGTTCTCAACGTAAAGTGCACCACCGACGCAAAGTCGCCGCGAAGAAATTACCCCTGATCGGCGAAAGCTTTTGGCAAAGGAGATCGTTATACACTCTCACACGCGCAAACGTTTATATAACAATTTAGGTCGATCGTGCGGACCGCGACACGGAACGCAAGTAGCACCGCTGAGAAATCGCCAGAAGGATCCGAAATGTCGTCGCTCCCTTGCCAGAATTTCTTTCTCGCGACGGCTCTCCGCACGCACCAAAGTATAACCAACACGATGCGACGCGATAAAAACACGCGCACCCGCCGGCCCTTTAGCCGACCGAAATTCGGGACGCTTTTCGACGCAAAGGGAGGGGAGCGTAGTGGACTGATTCTTTCTTTCTTTCTTTCTTTCTTTCTTTCCTTGCGACATGATTATTTTCACCGATAAACCGCCAAGTCCCACCTGTGCTCCTTTCTCCGATATCTCGCGTTTGTGTGTGAGAGTTCGCGATTTCAGTGCCGATTAGCGAACAAATGTTTTCTCTCCATTGCCGACGTATTGTGCACTTGTTTGCGAAATGGGTTAAACATAATAGAATAAAGAGCACACTAAATTATCACGACCAAGAATACTGCTGAGAGATTTGCGTAATAGGTAAAAGTACAAATGTCTAGACACAAACTATATCTTTATTATCTCAGCCCTTAAATAAGTATACCGCGATCTAAAATCTAAAATAGAAATATTTCTCCTGTGTATTTTGAAACTTTACTTATAGTATACAAACGTTTATTTCCATCAATTTATAATGATGAAATAAATGAGCTTTAAACCTCATACGTTTTTGTACCAGAGAACCGATTTCCCTGAGCAGTGTAACAGTTAAAAAACAAAACTTTTTCCCATTTTGTAAAACATTTATTATAATTCACTTTTAGGTTTTTGATTGTTGACAAGAAATGTCCAAGTTTTAATTTGATCTCATCTTAGTCTCATCTCAATACGATGATTTTTCGCTGAGTTATCGCTACTGAAATATGTTAGAAAACTGTGCTAAAATTTAGTCGCCCGTTTTATTGCGGGTAAATATATATTTCTGAATATTAAAAACCGTGACAGCTATTATGCCATATATTTCTTCCCACTTTTAGATATCTTCCAATTTTATATATATTTTTTATATTTTTATCTTTCCTTTTAGAAAAGAGGATGTCTATTTATAAATTTCTTCTTTTACAAGTTCGGCCTTGTGCATTATGCGTTTGCTTTGCTTTTTGCTCGCAACAAATATTATTTATGCATGTTTTTGTCTGCATGCATATCTTCTTTCGATCGTCGTTGCGCCCAATAAAGTTATCATTATTATTACTATAATTTTACATTAAATGTTGTACGATTGCCCGCTGAGATATGCTTCAGCCAAAAGCGTTCTATATGCGTTCCGTTCGTGGCGCACACAGGAAAAATTACGAGACAAGAATCGTTTGCACGAGCCGGCAATCTTGAGCCGTTATCGCACTTCACGTGTTGCTTTTGAGGTTACGACGTGCCTCAGATCCTCGAAATCATAAAAATCGACGCTACCGGCGGAAAATTTTAGTACCGTCGATAAAACCGCGACGCTCGTACGTTGTTGGCAACAAATGTCGAGAATATCCAATCCGAAATATTCATTCTCAAATTCAGATTCAAGGCTGAAATTGAAGCATTGTTTCGCGCGACACGTAAACGCTGTCAAGCATTATCTTAATATTAGAATTATTAGCTTCGCAAAAAAGATATCCGCGAGAAACTACACATATTTGTGCACTTTCACGTAAACGACATATCAACCAAATAAAAATAAATATTAAAGTTAATTAAATATTATACCGTTTAATTATATTTCCTTATATATTCCAAAACAAAAAACGATAATACCAATAAATTAAATCATATGCCAATAATTCCTGTGAAAATAGTAATACTAATATATTGCACCAATTGAAACTAAAAAGGAAATTATATGTTAAGTATTTTCTTTTTTACAGTTTTTATACGCAAACATGAATAAGTACTTTACTTCATTTCGAAGCTTCTCCAATGACAAAAATTCCCAAAAAATAAACTCGATAATCAAAAAAACACTTGGCAAGTCCACGAGCATTAAAAGTATTTTATATTTGCTTGCTCGTTCGCTCACTTATTACAAGCTTCAATAAGCCATCATGTTAACCAGCTGATTCGTTCCACGACGCTTTTAGTGAGGAAATTGTTCAACTGTAGCCATTTCTTGGTTGGAAAGCTTGACGATTTCGTACTTTGAACAGAAGTAACGCGATTCGTAGGACACATAGGAAAATAATAAAGGCGATTTCTTTACGTAATTTGAACCTAAGGAGTCGATTGAGCCCACCCAGAACCTCACCGTTTCAACTGTTATAACGGAACGATAAATCTTTGCTGTACTCAACTAGAGGCGTTGCGTAAGTCTACACGGCCGGTCTCGCGGTCGTTCCTCTCGTTACGCGTTCACTTGGTGCGGGACACTACCGTGTTTCTTGATATCACTCTACAGCGTCGTTTGATCATGGTTAACACTTCACGATCATCCTAGCCATCGTCGTCAAGCCCATCCTCACCCCGTGGAAACGCCCCGTTCGATCATTCAAACTTACCTTGATATCGAGGTGAGCTACGTTCAGGGAATGCAAGAAGGCGATCCCGTCCAAAATCTGCTTAAGTAATCTAGCAACTTGTCGTTCTTCCGGGACTTCGTCTCGGTCAAGTATCATTTGTAGTTCGCCGCCGGGCGCCCTGTAGCAATAAGAATTACTCATCATCTTATGTGTAATTTACACAATATTTACATTTTCATGGCGTACGCGTTTCTGCTCCCCTTTTTGATTCTAGTTTTATTCTTCTATTTTCTAATGCATGGTGATACCATAAGTTTAGTTAAATTAGTTCAGCACGAATAAATATCAGGACGAATAAGTGTTGTAATTTCACGATTAACCCGCACCTGCGGGTATATATATACGGAGTGTTTCACAGAACCGTAGCAGTTAATATCTATTACACTTTGGATAGTAGAAAAAATGGTATAAGAGGAAACTGAATGACTTAATAAGCATTATTCTCTTATGAAATCAATTTTTTGTTGGTGCAATAATACAACCCACAAATATACAATTGCATTTTTATTTTAAATAGAACTCCTTTGGTTTATTTTGTATAAGCTGATTCCTTAAAATATCCTATGTAAAAAAAATAGTAGGGTAAGATGACCAAAAGTGAGTAGTTAATGACATATTTCAGATTTATTAGAAGTATGATTTAGTTTTGAGGGGTTTTTCCAAAAACTGATTTACTTAAACAAGATAATGGAAACGAATACCTTAATCAAAATATTTTCCTTCTAACTTTTTCCCACCTTTCTGACAAGAAATGAATTCCGCGAGGATAAAAAGCTTTTCCTTTGGAGTTGATCCAATTTTCAACAAATTTTCGCACTTCGAAGTTACAAAAGTTACGAAAATGTGTATCCTTTAGAGCAGAGGTTGCCAACTGTATACGGCCCGCGAAGCCGGGAAAAGTAGTAAACAATTGCAAATAAAATTATCTGACAAAGCAGCAATTAAAAGATTTGACGAGCTAATTTTTGTTGTTAAAGTTTATGTCTGACTTTCTCTTGTTCACGGGGGGGAAATCCTCATGGATACCCCCGCCCCTTTGGAGACTCGGGCGAGGATTATATCGGACTCTTACCGACTAAATCCCCCAGGCGTGCCTTCCAGACGGGCCGGAATGGAAGGAGCGGGAGAAACCGCGCATTCCTTCCCTAAGTTTGTATCTGACTAATGTGTCTTTTTCAATTTTAATATCTAATTAAACACCTTAAAATTATGATTTTTTATTTCTTTCTCAATTGAATACATTTTAGTTCTTAAATAACATGATAAATGCTAGATAATTATTATATGGTCCGCCACTATACTCGTGGTTTCGGTTGTGACCTTCGAAGACTTAGATGTTGGAAACCCCTGCTCTAAAGCATGTTGCATCGACCGGAATAAGTGATAATCGGATAAAGCAATGTCTGGAGAATACGCGGAGTGTGGTAAAACTTCCCATTCCAGCTCTAATTTGCTGATAACACTAGTCTACATTTTGCGACTTTTTTGTCACAAAAGGAATGATACATGATTTCGATAGGATTTTTCCCATAGATTACGAATCTGAAATTCAAAATGTTCCATCACGTCACGTTTTTGAGAAAATGACGGTCAAAATGTGAAAAAAAACGCGTTTTTGGCACTTTTCGAACCTCTGTCACAAGGAAATGGGACGTGATACAATACTGTACTGTGAGCTCAAATTAAAGCTTGAACCTTAAACTTTAAATATATGACGTTAGATAACATGTAATAATACTGTGGAATCGTGTAGCACTGGTTTTTTGACTAGGCGCGCGCCAATTTAGACTCCACGTTTGACAGTAAACCTGATTACAACGGAAAGTCTCAAGTAAGCAAACGTAAGATAAAATAGCTTAAAATAAGACAATTTAAGAAAGCTATTGAAAGTTAACATAAATTGTCGATAATCAGATTAGTAGCTATGAAATTCGAGATCAGCGATTCCGGAAACCCTCAAGAGAACAGTTTCGTTAATATTTATATATATTTTTCCAAATATTTCATTAATTCTTTTTTATAATTTACAGTAACGTTTTTAAACCTTTTTATTTTAGGTTAGTTTATTTTATATAAACTTATTTTAGGCTTTACAAGGCAACTAGGTTCACTGTTAAACGCGAGATCGAAATTGGCGCGCACCCAATCAAAAACCTAGTGCTACACGACTTCACAGTATTGTCATATATTATCTAGCGTCATATATTTAAAATTTAAGGCTCAAGCTTTAATTTTAGCTCACGTACAGTATTGTATCACGTCCCGTTTCCTTGTGGCAGAGGTTCGAAAAGTGCCAAAAACGCGTTTTTTTTCACATTTTAACCGCCATTTTCTCAAAAATGTGACATGATGGAACATTTTGGATTTCAGATTCGTAATCTACGGAAAAAATCCTATGGAAATCATGTGTCACTCTTTTTGTGACAAAATCAGTGTCAACTAGTGTAATGCAACATGAGGTCGAGCATTGTCGTGAAGAAGGATCACTTTGCGTTGTTTATTCGCAATTGATGACCGTTTTGGTCTACTGGCCGCTTCAATTTGTATAATTGTCGTCGATAATAATTAGCGGTGATAGTTTCATTTGGATTTAACAGTTCATAGTACACGACACCTTCTTGATTCCAAATACACAGCAATAGCATTGGACCGTGAATATTGCGCCTCGAAGTGAATGTTGTTGGCTTGGATTAACCCGTGACTTTTTTCGTTTGAGATTATCGAAATAGATCCATTTTTCATCCCCAGTAACAATTCGATACAAAAAACTCTTCATTTTTGTTTGGCGATCGACGAAATTCAAATGCTCAGCCGGTTTGCAATGGCATTTTCCGATAATTCATGTGGAACCCATTCTCCTTCTTTGTGAATCTTTGTCATATCATGTAAACATTTAGTAACTATTGTACGATCAATATTTAATGCTCTGGTAATTTCTAAAATGCATTGTGCTGAATTCTCGTCCAATAATGCTTGCAAATTTGGATTTTCAAGCTTTTTCGGTTATCCCGCGCAATCTTTGTCGTTAACATTGAAATCACTACTTTTGAGTCATATGAACCAATATTTACATGTTTTAATTGATGGAGCAACATCATCATAAGTTTCTATCAGAATTCTATGATCCTCAGTCGCCGTTTTCTTCTGATTAAAAATAAATGCAACGCATATCAAAGATGCTCTTTAGGAAGCTCCATTTTTAAGATGATATTAACACGATTTTTACTGCGCCTATTGTTAATAAATGATTAAATATTAAGGATTAATATTAAAGCATTAAAAAACAATAGTTGTGATGAGAATGTCTTCGACAAAACTGACATTAGTGCTATCTCTTGCAAAACCCCTATCTAAATCACACTACTAATATTAAAACAAATATTCGAATTATCCCACCATACGTACAATAAACATTCGGCATCAAGTATCTAGAAGAAAAGGATATTGCGGACAATGTTTATAAATACTCGATCGAGAGAAACAGTGCCGTCTATGTCTATCTAACAATAAGATTCGTACGAAGTAACAAGCAAGTCGTAGTCCAATAAGCGTATCATTATCGAGTTTTCAAATAGCGAAAAAGTAGATGTGTTCAGTAGCTTTGCGATAAGAATGCTATAAATGCTGCAATTAAATATCGTAATACTGCCAAATGTTTGTTGTATGATGGTAAAACGTTCGAATATTTATTTCGACGTGCGGGATATTTTGAGAAGAACAAAAGCAAATAAACTGGTAGCAATTTCTTTGGCACTTACAGCTCCAACACAAGCACCATCTCAGTGTTGGTCTCAAAGACCTGATGGAGGGAGACAAGGCGAGAACAATGAGCCGCGGCGTCCAGTACCGCGACCTCGTGAAGCGCTTCCGCTCTGAGTTCCTGCGCGCGTCGCCGCTTCCTCAGGAACTTGGCGGCCCATTGTCTGCCGCTGGATCTCTCGCGACATCTTCTGACCGTTGCGTATTTCCCTCTGAAAAAGATATACTGCGTTAAAAAAAGATACATCATGAAATAATCTTAGTATAACGTGCACAACGACAAAGAGAAGAAAATAAAAATATTGAGGCGATATACAGGGTGTCCAAAAAGTCCCGAACCGGTTTCAAAGGGGACATAAAACAACTATATTAGTTTGTTTACAGATGGCGCCACTTTCGAGATATTTACTGATCATTACTTTTCTTAGATGGAAACCCCAATTTTTTATTGTGTCATCTTTTCCTACCAATTAATTTTAACAACTTTTGTCTAAGACATTTTTATATTTGCCTATTTTTTGAGATATTTAAAGAAAACTTGATAACTTTTCTAGTATTTTACTTATGATATCTCGCTATTTGTCGGAAGAAAAAATAGTACTAGACTCTTTTACTCTATTTGATCTCAAGGATATATTGTTACAATAGTGCCCTAACTTTTGTTAACTTATCGACTTTTGGAAATTTCAAAATCATCAAATTAACAAAAGTCAGAGCGCTATTGTAACAATATATCCTTGAGACTAAACAGAGTAAAAAGTCTAGTACTACTTTTTCTTTCGACAAATAGTTAGCGAGATATCATAAGTTAAATATTTAAGTTATCCAGTTTTCCTTAAATATCTTAAGAAATATTAGGCGAATAAAAAAATGTTTCAGACAGAAAAGTTGTTAAAATTAATTGGTAGAAAAGGATGATATAATAAAAAATTGGTAATATAATAAACATTTCCATTTAAGAAAAGTAATGATCGGTAAATATCTCGAAAGTGGCGTCGTTTGTAAACAAAATAGTTGTTTTATGTCTCCTTTGAAACCATACAACTTTTGTCTGAAACATTTTTTTCTACGACCGCCCCCTGCAAAGTTGCGAGGAGTGATAGATTAAAATTGGACACCCTGTATATTTTTCCTCTAGAAAAGAAGCACTCGATAAGACAGATCTTTTCTTCCATCGTCAGATTACTCATTTTGACGCGCACAGACTTGCTTCTATCACAACCAGTATAAAACTGCGGAACCTCAGACGGACGACCATCAACATTAAGACCCGTTCTAAAGTTATGGAAGGGAGAACCAATCATATTTAGTTATATAGTCATTTGCGGTTAATAAAACTAACAGTAATAATAACTAATTGTAATTATAATAATAAAATATCAATATGTAGTATTCCTTCCAACGTTTCGCATTTCGATCTTATATTTCAATATTAATATTTTATCATAATCATAAAGATAATTATTGTCAGTTTTATTAACCGCAAGTAATTGTTCTCAATTATCTATTATGAACGGTAAAAAAAGTAAATTTAGAGAAAGAAGCGGAACGATGCAAAAGGAGGAAAAGAGAAAATGCGAGAGAAATACTCGGAATTGAAGTTCCGTATTTCTCCCGGGCACGATCAATCATAAAATTTCGTACCTCGGCAATTATACGGACAAGTACGCCGGGCAAGCTGATGCTATATAGTCGTCGCGGCGCCTTCGTTTGTTGAAACGTTAATTAGCGCGAGGCAATCCGAATGTTCCATTTCGCCGAGCGAATAATTAAATTTCGTAACGTTGGGTATGATCGTGACTATACGGACAATCGCGGAATACATATCTCCGCGCGCGTTCGCTTATCGCTATGATTCGTTTCCGCGGCTGACGCCGCTAATAAAGACGTCGATAGACAAATAATAATATCGCACGAGGAAATCGTACAAGCGCAAAACGGCCGGTCGCTTTCACTTTTCCCGCTAATAACGCGCTTCATGCGTCCCTTACGCTCGCTTGACCATAGAGGAGAAACACACGCTGAGCGATTTTCATCGCGGAAAAGTCGTCTCTCTTTGCACTCCGCCGCCGCTATCATCAGCGCCGTCACCGTCGCGACGTCGACCACGTTACCGTTATTGCTCGTTATTGCGTTACATACGTATGTTTCTGCGGTCGTACATCTGCATTCATGTTATATCACTTCGAAAAGCGAGCCAAGCTGCGGCAAAAAGTAATGAGAATGATGGCGCTTCAGCGCCGTGTGTAATGTACGTATGTCGAACATAAGACATTTTCTGCCGCGTGTCGCCATATTAATGAGAAACGAATGACAAATTGCGATGGCAAATTGGAGGCCGAGATTGAATCGCGGATTCGAACGTTCTTGCGATTGATTGCAATATCACGGGAAAGTATTGAATTCCGCGGCTCGATTGCAAAACCTTCTCAATTATGCGGGACGAGAGCAATCTACATACGAAGTATACGATAGATATACAGGGTGTATAAAAAGTATAGGAACGGCAAAATATCTCGGCAACTAAACGTTTTAGAAAAAAATGTTTCCGACAAAAGTTGCATTGTTTCAAGGGGGACATAAAATCAAAATACTTTTTTGATATATTTAAAGCTTGGTAACTTTTTCAATATTTAGTTTAAGATATTTATTTATCGGAGGAAAAAGTGGTACTAGACCTTTTTATTCTATTTGGTCTCAGGAATATATTGTTAGAATAATGCCTTGACTTTTGTTAATTTCATGATTTTGAAATTTCCAAAGGTCGATAAGTTAACAAAAATCGGAGCACTGTTGTAACAATATATTCTTGAGGCCAAATAGAGTAAAAAAGTCTAGTACCACTTTTCCTTCCGACAAGTAGTTAGCGAGATATCGTAAGTTTCCTTAAATATCTCAAAAAATATTAAGCAAATAAAAAAATATTTCAAACAAAAGTTGTTCAAATTAATTGGTAGAAAAAGGTGATGTAATAAAAAATTGAGATTTCCATTTAAGAAAAATAACGATCATGAATATCTCAAAAGTAGCGCCATCTGTAAACAAAATGATATAATTGTTTTATATCTTCTTTGAAATCATACATCTTTTGTCTGAAACGTTTCTTAGTATCTCTCATATTGTTCAAGTTTTTTGCTTAATTCATTTAAAACAAGACACTCTGTATAGTACACGTGCAAAAGTTGCATTTGTGAATGTGTATGTGTATGTGTGAATATAAAAGACATTCAGGTTAAATTATCCTGGCAAGAGTGCAATGCGGTATAAACGTGAATGTTTAACTCTTTAAGGTATAGGATTTTGAAACAAGACTAGTTATAGAGAAATTTTATTTAAAAAAATATAACAGAATAGGTTTGCTTTATTTCTAAACGATAAACTAAACTGCTATGCTTGGAGTTATCTTAATATTTTAAAGTAGAATAAAATTTAAATAAGTCACTCTCTCTTGTTTTAATTAAATTAAATAATTGTTCATAACTTTGAAGATATAAATTTTTCGACTCATGTTTATTCGAACTTTTTTTCTCCATTTTGTGAGTACTATCTACCCTTAAAGTTCTGCACCTTTTCTTTTAAATACTCTGTATAACTAACTAAAAAAGTACTAAAAAAGTAGAACACATTTTATTCCACTTTTTATGCCCCAAAGAGTTAAAAAGAACAATACTTCTGCATATAATATTGGACTGTAAAGAAAGTGATTGCCGATTTAAAAAAAAAAATAAAAGACGATTTTTTCATAGAAGGTGAAAATTTTATTCAATTATGTATTTACTATTTTGTTCAAACACTTTTTGCTATCTTTCAACCAACTTCATAATTCCGCGCTCATAGAAAGTCTTGTCCCTATCGGCAAAAAATTGAACCAAGTGATTTTTAATACTCGTACCTTTTTAATACCTTCATTTTCAATACCTTCATCAATCAATTTTTAATACCTTCATTTGAATCGAAGTTTATAGCATTTAAAGAATTTTGTAGAGACCGAAACAAGTGATAATCTGATGGTACATGATCAAGTGAGTATGGTGATTTCAATCATTTCTGGTTATCAAACTTGTGTGTGATATTGCGTTGTCATGATGGAACACTACAATTTTTTTATTCTGGTCCTAATTCTGGTCTTTTTACGTGAATGGCTGCATTCAATTTACCCAATTAGCGACAGTAGACATTTAAATCAATCGTTGGATTCATTGAAAGCAGTTCTAAAAACACCACACCTTTCCAATCCCATCACATTAATAGCATAACAGCATTTCTATGCGACATGTTTAATGCCTTCGTAATTTTTCAAATAGTGAGACAATGATTTGCTTCAACCAATGTCATTAGCTTGTCTTCATCACCTTCAGTTGGTTTTCCTGAATATGGTGCACCTTTCACATCAAAATCTCCAGAACGAAATCTTGCAAACCAATTTCGACACTATCGTTTTTTTAAGTCAGTCTCCTCATACACGGCATATAACTTTTTATGTGCTTGCACAGCATTCTTTCCTTTGCGAAAGCAAGGAAATAAAATATAGCGAAAATGCTGTTCTGAAATCTTCACTTTCAAGACGACGCTGTAAATAAAAGACCTGATCGATTCATGCACTTTTTGTTTCTAAATGACCTTTAAGATATCAGCTGTCAATTTCTAAAATTATTTTACGATTTGGAGCGAAGCTTGTTACTTAAAAATGCGACTAACGACATCTATGTGTGAAATCTGTAATCACTTTCTTTACAACCTAATAATACCTAATAATACGGACGAATGCAATAAATACCGTTATCAGCACCAACGTCATACGTAAGAAATTGCGCAAGTCTCGAGGAAGTTATGTATACGATTCGCGCAAGACACATACCTGGAATGATTGTAGTCCGAGCATGGACATTTCGGTCACGGTAGAATTCTGGGGTAATTCACGGTAGATCTTCTAATCAAACAGTCCGCGAGCTTCGTGCTGCAGTTTATCGATTTCCATCTTTTCCGAGACCGCGCGATTATATCAGAGCAGATTGTTTTAATATCTCATCGCAAGAACAATGCCGAAATATTTCGACTGAAACAGCTTGGATCTCTCACAGCCCGAGCGACCTAATGTGGAAATTCAAAGCCCGCTTCGATCGAAAATAGTATTACAAATTATTAAAAAAAAAAATGATTCACGAAATATTAACGCAATGACGAGCCTGAATTATTATTCAATTTAGGAAGC